GGTGAGCCGAGATCGCGCCATTGCACTCCAGCCTGGATGACAAGAGCGAAACTCTGTCTCAAAAAAAAAAAAAGAAAGAAAGAAAAGGGCACAATGTTTACCACATGTTCATATTCACCATGTTTACTCTTATTTCATATTAGCCCAACAAGTCATTTTCTGGGCAACTGAGTCTCGCTCTGTCATGAGGTTGGAGTGCGGTAGCACAATCTTGGCTCACTGCAACCTTTGCCTCTTGGGTTCAAGTGATTCTCCTGACTCAGCCTCCTGAGTAGCTGGGACTACAGGTGCACGCCACCTCATCAGGCTAATTTTTTGTATTTTTAGTAGAGGCAAGGTTTCACTGTGTTAGCCAGGATGGTCCCAATCGCCTGAACTTGTGACCCACCACCCCTGGCCGGCATTGGAGGTTTCTAAAAGTTGTTTTGTGCAAATGTTTTGGAGAAAAGCCAGCAAGTAGGTAGGAGAGTAGTCAGGAGGTTATTGGAGATGACAGATAGTGTTACTAGGCCTAATTTGTAAATATGCATATTTTAATCAATTCATAGGATTTAAAAAGATGTGGTCGGGCGTGGTGGCTCACACCTGCAATCCCAGAACTTTGGGAGGCTGAAGCAGGTGGATCACAAGGTCAGGAGTTCAAGACCAGCCTGGCTAACATGGTGAAACCCTGTCTCTACTAAAAATGCAAAAATTAGCTGGGCATGGTGGCACACGCCTGTAATTCTAGCTACTCAGAAGGTTGAGGCAGGAGAATTGCTTGAACTGGGGAGGCGGAGGTTGCAATGCGCCAAGATCATGCCACTGCACTCCAGCCTGGGCGACAGACTCTGTCTCAAAAAAAAAAAAAAAAAGCCCAGGCATGGTGGCTTACGCCTGAAATCCCAGCACTTTGGGAGGCTGAGGCAGGCAGATCACCTGAGATCAGGAGCTCAAGACCAGACTGGCCAACATGGTGAAACCCCCGTCACTACTAAAAAATACAAAAATTAGCTGGGCATGGTGGCTTGTGCCTGTAATCCCAGCTACTTGGGAGGCTGAGGTAGGAGAACTGCTTGAACCGGGACTTGGGAGGCAGAGACTGTAGTGAGCCGAGATCACGCTACTGCCCTCCAGCCTGGGCTACAGAGCGAGGCTCCATCTCAAAAAAAAAAAAAAGATCCCTAGGATGAAATTCATGTCAAAGCTTCCAGATATTTATTTACCTATATTATTAAAAGTAGAAAATTATTTATAATTCACAACCTCCATAGAACATATTCCTAACATTTATTGTGGGACGATTCCCTTACTACCCTTTGAAGTTGAGTCACATGCCTTGTTCGACAGAGGAGTCCATATCAGGGACATCTCCCTGAGTTTCCCCAGGAAGGGGCTAGTGCATGAGCTCAGTGGGCGCTTCCCCAGGAGAGGCAGGCTCTAGGCAATTGCAAAACAGGTGAAATAATTTCCAAGCCCTTCCTGCCTGGCTGGTGGCCCACTTCAGGCCTCTAGGCCATGGGGACCAAAGCTTCCCCACTTACTTCTTCTCTCAGCCCCTCTCCCATCTTATTTTTTCTTTCTAAAGGTTATGTTCATGACGAAAACCCTTTTTTGTCCTTTGTTTTACACCAGTAACCCTCCCCTGTATCCCTTACAAGTAGCCTCTCTGACACATTAACTCACATTAAATGTACTGTAAAGTTCTTTTTTTTTTTTTGAAGCAGAGTTTCACCCCTGTTGCCCAGGCTGGAGTGCAATGGAGTGATCTCGGTTCACTGCAACCTCCGCCTCCTGGGTTCAAGTGATTCTCCTGCGTCAGCCTCCCAAGTAGCTGGAATTACAGGCACCTGCAACCTCAGCCTCCCAAGTAGCTGGGACTACAGGCACATGCCAACACACTTGGCTAATTTTTATATTTTTAGTAGAGACGGGGGTTTCACCATGTTGGTCAGGCTGGTCTTGAACTCCCGACCTAAGGTGATCCACCCTCCCAAAGTGCTGGGATTACAGGCATGAGGCACAGAGCCCAGCCTAAATGTATTATAAAGTTCTAAGTATCTGGAAGTCATGGATTTCCGTCAATTTTTAGGTAAAGAAGTCTTTTAAAAATTCCCTCCCCTTCTCTCACCTCCCTGCCTTAAAGCCATTTCTTTTTTTTCCCTCCCTTCCCCAAGCCATTTCTTTTTGTTTTTTAAGAATAGCTTTTGGACCCCTGAGGTAGCTCTTGCCTGTAATCCCAGCACTTTGGGAGGCTGAGGAGGGTGAATCATGAGGTCAGGAGTTTGAGACCAGCGTGGCCAAAATGGTGAAACCCCGTCTTTACTAAAAATACAAAAATTAGCCAAGTGTGGTGGCATGTGCCTGTAGTCCCAGCTACTTGGGAGGCTGAGGCAGGAGAATCGCTTGAACCCGGGAGGCAGAGGTTGCAGTGAGCCAAGATTGCACCATTGCACTCCAGCCTGGGCAACAGAGCAAGACTCCGTCTCCAAAAGGAAAAAAAAAAAAAAAAGAGCTTTTATGCTTAGTAGCTTACATTTAAGGTGGGAAAAGACTTTGGCCAGGCTGGTCTTGAACCTTGAACTCCTGACTGCCTGCCTTGACTTCCCAAAGTACTGGGATTACAGACATGAGCCACCACACCTGGCCTTACATCTGCGTATTTTATTTTTTTATATTTTTTAAAGATGGGGTTTCACCATATTGGTCAGGCTGGTCTCGAACTCCTGACCTCAGGTGATCCACCCGCCTCAGCCTCCTAAAGTACTGGGATTACAGGCGTGAGCCACCGCTCCCGGCACATCTGTGTATTTTTATTGCAAAGCCAGGCTCTGTAAAGATGGCATTTTATCTGAGAAGCAACCTTACCAACAGGTAAAATTCTTCTTACTGAGGGCAAGCTCTTCCTGAAGACATTGAGATATTCCATTTTTGGCTTCTAAGAGAGAAAGGTTGCTACTCCATTTTCCCTGCAATAGAGTAATGCTGGGTTTCATTGCTCTGCAATATTGTCTTGGGCATCAGTTCCCAAATGGAATGTGGAATAAAACATAATTCTTGCAGAATAGCTCATGCATGCAGCTGTGCATGGCATAAAAATCCCCAGAGCAAACCTTCAGGTCGCCAGCGTTAGTCCTAAAGTACCTCAGTGGAACATACCTCAAATTTCATGAAGCATCACCACAGTCAGAACTTTATGTCCCTTTCCTCATCTGACTGCCTCTCTCATGCCTTGGGAGGCCCTACTTCCAGGCAGGGCAGGATCAGATTCAGGTAAAATGAGGAGGTTTATAGATTATTCCTTTAGGGCAGGAATCAGCAGGTCTAACCCACAGACCAAATCCAGCTGAAGCCGGAGCTCCCATTAGTTTCCCCTTTTTTTAATGGTTGGGGGAGGGGGAAGAGGGCGACAACAGAGAATGTGACCTGCAGAGCTTCACGTAGTTACCATCCGGCCCTTTACAAAGTCTGCTGGCACCTCCTTCAGAGCCCTCATGCCTCCCTTTCTCAAGGAGTCCAGGCCAAGCCCTCAGGTCCTGGTTTACTTACGCCACAATTAGAGTGAATCCTCCTATTCAAAGGCAAATCCATTGACCTGACAGCTTTTTCCCAGCTAGAGGGAGGGGTCCCTGTTCTGGTTCTTCTCCTTTTACCCTGCTCTCCCCTGACTACTGGTCCAAGGAACACAGCTGCCCCTCCCCAGGCACCCAGGCAGTGGGTATCCCAGTTCTCAGGGCCTGGGGGACAGGGTTCCTATCAGCCAGGGGCTTCTGGAGACATATCCTGGGCAAGAGCATTGGAGAGGTCTGCTTCTTGGGACCCCTTTGGGTTATGACACCTGTGGTCCTAAGAGAAGATTTATGAGAACTCTGGGCTCTGCTGTGCACAGTGGCTCATGCCTGTAATCCCAGCACTTTGGGAGGCCAAGGCGGGTGGATCAC